AGCTATTCAAAGCTCGAGGAAGCTCGACACAGAGAGAGAGAGAGTCGACGCCGGGTCGGCAAACGGAAAAAGATACACACACGAGACAAAGATAAAGTAACCGAAAGATATCGCGCGCTTGCCGCGATAGTTTCCGTGAAGGTACGCGAAGACTCGCGCGGAGAGGATCCTCGCTTCAGTCTAATTTCCCGCGTGCGCGTCTCGTTCGTGCGAGCGAGCGAGAAGGGCGGTGGCGGGAGAACGAACGGACGTTTACTTCGCAAGAGAGAACCGGTACCGGTACTCCGTTCTACTTAAGCGAGGCAAAGGCTCTCTCTCTCTCTCTCGCGGCCACGAATCCCGAAATTCGCTTCGGCAAGAAAATACAGCCGGCTCGCGCGCGCGGAGACGCAAAAAACCGTGTTAGCTCGTAGGCGGCATGGGCGGCCGGAAGGAAAGGAGCAGGAGAGGGAGGATGAGGTGACAAGGTAACGCAAGAAGGCGCAAGCTGCAGGCAAGGCTCGCAAAGGGGGTACCCTTTGTCACCCCCGCGTGCGCGCGCTCGCTATCTCTCTCTCTCTCCCTCGACTCCGGCAAACTCCTCGACTCGTGCTTGCGGTCCGCTGCTGCTAGTCCGAATTTCGCCGGTTGGTGCCCTGTATCGCATTAGGAGCAGAGGAGAGCCCCTCGGCCAACAAGGGGTCAGCGGGGGTGGATGGGAGCGGAACGAGTAGAGAGGAGCGGCGGGCGGGCGGACAAAAGCTCGCGGGGTTGCAGGATGGTAGCGGCAGGATGGTAATGACGGGGGCGAGAGCGATGATGGAGGGAGAGGGTCGAGGAGGCTCGGAGGGGGGGTGCACCGCAAGCTCGAAAGTTGGGAAAAAGCCAAGGAAGGGGTTGTGCTTGGTGCGCGGGCCAGCCGGAGGGCGCAAGCTCCGGGTATTCCTGTGCCCTCCCACTCGGTCGCGCGATAGGTGGAGCTTTCCTACCCGCCAATACATGTGCCCGGGGAGCGCGTACTCGCGGCTCACGGCGAGTAGAGCCGCCGCCGTCGCGCCTCAGTCCTTCCACATCCACACGAAAACGCGCGTCCCACGGTGGTGGCCCACACGGTGCAGTGTGGTGGCCTCTCGGCGCCGGCTCCCCCGCTGCTGCTGCTACCGCGCCGTGCGATCAGGTCAGAAGAGGGTTGGAGAGGGCCCCGGTGATAACGCGCGCGCGATAAGGCCGACATATTCGCGTCGGTCGCGAAGGGTGGCCGGTCGTGCGGCCGTATCCGGTCGAGTGGAGTCTTATCGCGTAGAGGATGTACGATCGAGAGAGCGAGAGAGAGAAGGAGGGCTGGGCGGCAGGTGAATGAGAATTAGAGAGAGAGACAGCTCGGACTGTACCGACCTACCTGCGTGTGCTGTGTGCGCGGAGGGGGAAATGCCCGTGAACGTAAGAATAGAATTTCGCTAATGTGGACCGGTGTGCACGGGAAAGTCGATTAGATGGCGGCGCGAGGAGCCAGGAGACCTCTCCTCCGAGTTCAGCTCTGGTAAAAACGGTGCTCTCGGTGAAGTATCGCGCGCTCGCGACCGGTAACTTCATCAAAATTGTCCGGTGGGTACGGTATCGTCTTTTGCGCGCGCGGTGTTTCAGCGAGATAACCCCGTCGTGTTTATACAGAGAGTACGGAGTTTCTCTTCCCGCTAAAGTTTCCGGAAGGAATCATTTCGATAGCGGAATGGACCTTCCCGCTGTAAACTTTCCGAAGAGGTCGGGTGTTTCGGTAACGTTCGAGGAGTGATCGCGCGATTATATCCGGAAAATTTTGCAACGGAGTAACGTCAATCATTCGCGATTTCAAACATGTCCGACGCGGCTTTCGATGCACCCCGGAGAGAAACTTAGCTAAATACTCCACGTTCGAAACGCTAAATTGCAATTTTCGGAATTTTTCAGTTACCCTTGCCTTCTTTAATTCGCTCGTTGTGTCGGCGACGAAATATTATTTTCCAAGCACGACCGATTGCACATTCGAAACTGTCGTAACGACGTGCGACGAATCGATATCGTCGAGATTTTACATTTTGATATATGTCGCGTGTCAGCACGGTCTGCTCCCGAAGTCTTTTGTCGGGTCACCGGGAAGGCATCCCCGCCGATCGATCGGCGAAGGCACGAATACTCAACAAACGAATTAATGGCATGATATGTGTCTAGCGTAGCGATTAAACGCGATTATTCGTTGGAGCGCGTGAGAAGAGCCGAGTGAGAATCAATCGCGTGCGTGTGCAGTTTCTCGACGCATTCGATTAAGCCGCTTCGCAGCATCCACGCTCGCGGGGATCCGATACGGAGATCCCCGTCGATTATGGTGTAATTCACCGATTTACGACGACGACGATTGCACGACGTTTCCCGAGATCGCGGCAATTGAGAAATGCTCGTAAAAGTAACGCGATAACGGCGGCCGCTCGAATTCAGCGAATTCGCGAACACGCCGTTTAATTCGGTAATTTCGATAACGACACTGCCGTTCGCGATTGCACGAGACAAACTCTGTGCATCGATTCGTCGAGATACGCGTGTCTGTGTGTAGTGTATCGCGATAAATAAATAGAAATTATCCGTTTCGGGACAGGCGCGCCGCCGAAATACCGGCGACGCGCGTGTGTTCCCGAGCGATAGAAAGAGATTATGCTCGTATATACGATACGCAGCAGGAAATACGGCATGATACGGTATACACCGCGTATCCGTTGCTCTCTCTCTCGGATAGCGATGCGAAGTTTGATGCAAAACGTCCCGGATAAATTGGGAGACTAAACAGCAGTGCGCGGGATAAATTTGGAAAAAAAGGGAAATTTAGACTTTTTTTGTGCGCGCGCGTTCTGTCCGACGCGACTGAGAGAGAGAGAGAGAGAGAGGAAGGACGAAAGAAACGGTTGTTTTGCGCGTATTTTTAGCGCTTTTTATGCTGGATCGCTGAAAATATAAATGTAAATTACAACGTCGTACGATGTAATCGAGCTTTCATTCATCTGGCTTATCCGTGCGACGTTCGCAATTTATTTCGGGCACAGTACGCTTGAAAATCGATCGGTGTGTGTCGATCGCGAATTTTATACAATGTAATTTCACGTTTCTAATTCCGACTGACTATCGAAGCGAATGAACGTCACATCGTGACGCCTCTTCAAGTGCGATCTTTCATCCGTTTGATTCGATGTGCGATTTATCGGTACGTTCGTAAACTGAACGCTGGATGAACTTCGATTCTGTTCTATTAAAATTCATTAAACGATGGAGCGATGTGGAGAAAATAGAACGTGCGTTGATTATGCTCCGATGATGACGCCAATGGCATTTTAATCATTACACGATTGCGTTATGCTTAGCTCTCTCTCTCTCCCTTTCTCTTTTACGATTTTGATATCCAAAGCACATTACGTGAGGCGAGCAAATTTAGACAATGAGATTTTCCAAACACGTTGGCATGAGCGCTTGTTTGCTAAACGTGCATAAATTCTTGTTTGTCGGAGCAAACAATAGCGTATGAGATACCTTGAACGCGCCGCTTCATCGGCAAGCTTGAACAACGGTGATATTATATTCTCTTGTGTTTTTACGTTAAATATTGAAGGCTGCAATATTAACAGGACCAAGTCCTAAATCTGTTTATGACGAAGTGAGTTTTTCATTTCCTTTAAAAGTGATTGATTATATTTTTTTTAACCGAACGAACTGACTAAATGTACATCGATATTTGGGAACGGTATTCTTCTCCGTACGTTGCATGACGCGTTATTTCCTCACGTTTTCATAAAAATTACCCGAATTTGTAAAGATTTACTAAAAATTACGGAAACGAAGACTTTGTCCATAGGTCGAGGACGGAAGACGAAGTATGTTTTTTTCCGTAAGAATCTAATTAAAAATTCATTTGTTATTTTAATCTTTGTCGAAGGTAAATTAAAAATTTATTTAATCAAATTTCATTCTTGCAAAGTGAACGTGCTAAATAAGCTATTGCACTATTTTGGCGCTGGAGTCGCTCTTGGCAAGAGAGCCTCTTGTGCTTTTGTATACCAGAAGCATGATCTTCGGGTAACGGTACGATCGTACGACTTCAGAGCCACGAGATCGTATGGGAAAGGTGTGCCGCACGATCAATGACGAATTTACACTCAGTCGACTTTGAGCCGGTCGAGCGTCGCCATCAAATTCGCCCGATCTCTCGTCGATCGCTCCTCGTGCCTATCGTGTTTTCGTGCGAGATTCAGCGTCGTTCGACGTACATTAATTGGGAGTTATAAATTCGTTGTGAACGGATAATATCTGTTTGACAATACATCTGTCTGTATATATTTTCGTATTTTATACGGAGTAAAAAATTTTACCCAAACGGTCCACCTTTTTTATGTTGCTTTGACAAGGAGAATAAGTTAAAAGTTCATAAATGTATTAAATTAACAAATTATTTATCTTGTCACATTATGTCTTGACGTACTCACTTTGTTAAAGCAACACCAACATTTGGGTGGACCGTTTGTAACGCAATCATTTTTACTGCACTGAGAAAAAGATTTCTTCAAGTTTAATCAATTTTATTATATCCAAATAAATATTATCATTGGCATGCACCGAAAAACTAATGTTTCGATTAATAAATACGATTGTTAGACATATCAACGAATACGTATCTTTAGTACATGTTGCTTCTATGGAATAAATTTCAGTCGAATTCCGTCCATTCATGCTTTTCTCCCGAGATTACGGAACACTGCGACAGTTGTCTATTGTTTTTTTCACGGGATTGAAACTTTGAATCTTGATCGGTTCGCGGTGAGATACCGCCGATAGTAAATTGCAAATCGAAATTCCGTTATCCGGCATCCGACACGAATAAACGAATTGTTAAGAATTAAGGATCAACGGGAGGTGACCTACGGGGGGTTCGCGAGGAAGGATCAACAATCGAGGCTTCACAGTGCTTTTTTTTTCTCTCGAATTGCAGATCGAATATAAGTGCGCGCGTGTGGTTCGTGTGTGTGTACATGTGCCATCGTCACCACCACCGTCCGCAGCAGTAACGGGAAAGAAGGGGACTCGAGCCGCAGTGGCCGGAACCGAAAAATGGACGCGACGCCGCGGCGACTCATCTCCGGTTTGCTTTTGTTCGCCCTCGCCACATTACACCTCGGTAAGTCGTCTCGATTATTAACAGTCACAACGAGCATAATGCGATCCACCAGGCGTAATGGAACGCGCGCGTGACGTTACACCGGATCGGAGAAAACGTTGTGTTATTCGAAGGAGGTCGAGAGAGGAGAAAACAGCGCGCTTCTTTTCTCTCTAAGCGCGTTTCCTTTCGAGCATCGGTTGTTTCCCAACCAAGTTACAGCAAGTGACTTCGGCAAGCTAACTCGGAAGTTGCCGAGCTCCGGGAAAAATAATGCGTGAAATTAAGAACGATACCGCGTGTGAATGATTTTTCACAGACCGGCTCTCCGCTAACGTCGCTTATTGCGCCGACACAAAAATTACGATGGATGGAATTTATTTTCGATTTCCACTTTGTCGGAATAATCTTCCGAATTTCACGCAAAGAATTATACCCCCCCACCATTCGTGCGATCATCGCCGATACGCGCGTTTATAGGATTATATCTATTTGCGAATTTAATGCGTTTCATTTATACATGCATTACACGCGCACTTTACTTTGTCAGTCGGCAGTTATTTCGTCGCGATATGTAGAGAGTCACGGGAAAAAGAGAGAGGAAAAACAGGAAAAACAGGAGAAACGTCTCCTCGCGGCATTATAAATGACTCGCGATGCGTGCTTTGACTTATTACGGCGTTGAAATGACTGCTCGCCTTCCACATATTACACGAGAGTTAACTTATGTTTGTTCAGCCCTTAATAGACGGCCCCATTGTGCCATCCCGTGTTGTATCACGTCAATTTAAAATGTGTGTGGAGATCCCCTACGGCCACGGGGTTCCGCGTGTGGTGCACGCGTAGAATTACCAGGAGCTCGAACGCCGTGCAGTTACCTGCCGTCGTTGTTACTAAGGCCGCGCCCGTTATTTCCCGGTAATATTCACATTTCGCGTGTCTCGTTATTATCCAAAGTGATACAAATTATGTGGCTTTCCGTTCCGCGGCAGAGCGGGGACGGATGCGAGAAGGAGCCTTGCGCAACGTTCGTTGACCCCTTGACCTCCCAAGAATACTCCCAACGATTTCGCACATTTCGCAAAGCGGTTCCTCGCGCGTGGGGACATGTTTTTTAACCTGTCGTTGCGCAACGCATGCGTGAATGAAAATATCACGGATGTTTGATGTTTACCGATGAATAAAAAGAATGAAGCTGAAGGCGCGAAGTGATGTAGCAGAATGTGATCATTTCCTCATGCATCGTTGATCTCACGATCCAGAAGTGAAAAGTCGAATCGACGTCGACTCGACGTTGACGTGAAATATAATTGAGATGTCGAATAACGATTGCCATCTTTTCATCATTTTCGACCTTATAACAAGAACTCACTATGAAAGGAACAAGAAGATGCAAAAGATAAAATGGCAGTCTTTCTTTATTTAAACAAATGATTGATCTAACTTGTCTTATCTCGTTTCGTCTCTCGAAGGCGGAAACATTTTTTCTGTTTTTTCCTTTCTCTTTTTTCTCCTCTGGCTTTACATATCACGATGAAATCGTTTCATCGTTTTTATCAACGTAATCTTGTTACAAATAATATTTTATAATTACAGTAACTAACGTTGATGACTGGTCGAAATTCAGGCTCATATTTAGGTTGAACCAATATATAAATTTTGACTGTCGACTGATAACTACAATCCGTGTTAATTCATTTCGACTTTTCTGGCTGGGGATATTTCTTTCCGAAACTGAATGATTGCAGCGCCAATGTTACGTATGTGCGAATAACACATTAGATTATACTTGCTCATGGTGCAATACAATGGCTACAAGGTTCCGAAATTCAGCCGTCGCAGGTAGCTCGTGACGACCTTGATCTACCTTCGAATATCGCCGGCTGGCCAAGGACGACGCGACGACAATTCTTTCGACACACCGCTTGTTCCCGCGGTCGCAAAGCGCATAAATTATTCCGCCTCTCATAGACGAACGTGGGAATACCTTCCTGTATTCCCCGACATTTGTCGCTTTACCGAAATGTTACACTTAAATATCGAATAGCACCTTATATTTTATCTATCTCGAGATCACTCCGAATATCAAGGGATAAAAAATCGTGTTCGTTGCATTCCGAAGAGAACGACAGATAGAGAGAGAGGGAGAGAGAGAGGGAGAACATACTTGCACGGCATTTGTTCACGGTAGCGAATCGGCCGTTAATCGCTAAAAACAACGTCGCAATGACGTAACCGGACAACATTTGCGTCTGCGACCACGACGGGTAATTCGAAAACTTTTAAGCGATTTGGAACGTAAATTGCGCGAAGGGAAACGGGGACGCGGCCGGGCGAAGCCGCGACGCCCAAGTAGACGGCAGAGAGAGAGAGAGAGAGAGAAAGATAGAGAGAGAACGAACGCGTCGTCGACGTAATTGCATAATGGCTACGGTGTGTTCGCACCAAGATACGAAGCCCTGGCCTGGTTTTTGCTAGGGGACTTTCACTCGGAGTTCATATCTTTCTCTTTTTCCATGTTTCTCTCTGTTTCTCTCTCTCTCTCTCTCTCTCATTTTTCCCTCCTTCTCTCTATCTCGCTCCGTCTCTCTATCGGTGCTGGGTCGCTTTCCGTCTCGCCGCCGCCCGCTCCTTGCTCGTTTCCTCTCAAACGTCGGTCTCTCATCGACCGAATTCGCTTTCAAACCAGTTCGCTGTCATCGGCGGATCGAAGGGTTCCGCCGAAACTGTCGGATAATCCGTTTGAGCGATTTCTCGGCAGACACAAAAGCACGAGCCAATTATCACCGTTATCGCGCTATTATTACCACCGATCGACGTCTCTCGTCGATCTCGTCGTTCACCGATCGCAAAGATCGCGCGATTTCACACCTCAGATTCCGCGACGCCTCGTCGTGCGATAAGGCTAAATCACTTTAAGAGAAATCTTGGCGAGAATGCTTCTTCGCAGGTGAGTTACTTTCTAATCAAGTTCTATTAGCTGGTCTCTCTCTCTCTCTCTCTCTCCTTTTCTCTCCTTCGTCGTTCACCTGCCACTCCATTTTGTCTTTATTTACCGGAATACTCGCTCTTGATAGACGCGGTGACGTAATTACATTTAGGTTCTCTCTCTCTCTCTCTCTCTCTCTCTCTTTCGCTCTTACATTCGTTTAAAACAAATCACAGTCTCTTTGTACGTTTGCAACAGAAACATTCTAAAGCAGAAGCAGATTTTCGCAACGTCCTTTGCGCGAAAACAAGGTGTGGTTTCTTCTCAGCGGAGCATTCTTTCACAATTTCATCGTTTCGAGTCGCCAAGTACCGCTTAGAAGTAAGCCGCAGTTTTAAAGCTCGATACGGTCGAGAATCCTGATCCTCGGGATGGCTTACAGCCGGGATACAACTGAAAATACGGCGTGTCACAGTGGAAATCGACCGTTGATCGTGACCGGGGATCGCGCTGCGAGCCCGGGAAAGCGGAAGCGCGGAAGAATTCTCCGCGATGAAAATTCTCGAGCCGATGATCGGCGAGCACGGCGGGCCACTTCAGAAGCAGCACTACGACAGATTTGCAACGTCGAATCAATGTACATATCGATGTGTGTATATATATATATGTATAACAACGGCGGCGTACACACCGAGAGTATCGGCGGAGTGCGCGCGTGCAGCACATTCCCCCTCGCTCTCCCAATAAAGCTCGGTTGGAGTCGTTCGATCGCGGCACTCGACGAATCTCAAATCGGACGGACAATAGCCCCGTGGTGGTCCGTCCGTCCATCTATCCATACGTCCGTTCGTTCGTTCGTTCGTTCCGTCTGTCTGGAATAACTTGTAAAGTCTCTGGGGTACGCGCGTGCCCGCATGTTGTCGCCGGCGGTTGTAATATCACGAATGCTCGGTTGCACCCACACACTATCATCATCGGCCAGCGAGAGAGATACACATCCATTTCTCTTTTCTCTCTCCCTCTTTCTCTATCTGTCTTCTTTTTCGAGGATTACTTCTGGGTCAGCGAGCCAGTCGCGATCACGTCCGTTCCGCGCTCTTACAGATTACAGGGTACTTGTTGGTGCGTGACGCGAGGCGCATCTCGAAACGCGCGGCTGCGCTCACAGAGGCTCCCCTGTAAGTCCCCGAGCGGCCGTCGAACCGTCTCTCTCCCTCTCTCTCTCTCTCTCTCTCTCTCTCCGACGAACCAGATATTGCGAGAATCGCGATATACGGACAATATTTCACGCGAGATCGATCGTTTCATCGTCTCGACGTCGACTCGCATTTCACGGACACTCATTCTTCCACGTAAGGGTGTACGGAATGCGCCAAGAGGCACCGATTCGAAGGGGTGAAATTGGATAACGCAACCTCTCTCGCGATTTTTACTTAATCGTTGGATCATCCCGAGCTCGTGTACGCGCACAATCTTTGATTGCTTTTTAAAGACCACGGGCGGGGTATCGCACGTTGACAAATATAGGCTTCCGGCTTCAGAAGTTTCAATTTCTCCGGAAAGGGCAATGAAAGAGGCGTTTCCGAGACGTTTTCCACTTTTTAATAAATATAGCCGGCGGCTCTCGTGTGCACAATGCGCAGTCGCAAATAATCTCACTGTCATTTTCTCCTCGCCTAATCCATATTATAATATATTCGCGTTCGTACGACCTAAGTACACCAAAGCGACGGAGTGGCGCAAAGAGGATTATGTTTCTACCCGCTCCTGCGCAAAGAGGTAGCGTTCATTTTGTATTAACATAATGCACGGTCGCTCCGTCCGCGGACGCAAAGCGTCCGTTTTGCAGCCGGAGGGTCCGAAAGACCCGATAGCAGCTCCCGGCTACTAATACATTACATTATCGTTATCACAAATTAATACGCGTTAATGGGGAGAGGGGGAGGGAGAAAGAGAGAGAGGTACACATACGGATGAGAGCGCGTTCACGAGATTACCGGTTGCATTCGCGAATAAGGATAATCGAAGCGTTCGTTCGTTCGTTCTCTCCTTCTTTCTTTTCATTCTTGTTAGTTTTCAGTCTCGCGGGATT